AATCCCTTCCCCCAGACTATGATAAATGTATAAAAATGAAAATATTAAAAAATAAAAAATAAAGATGTAAATGCAAGTGCAATATTTTTTTTGCTCTGGGTGTCATTAATATAGCATATATTTATTATTTGTCAACTATTTCATTTGACCTGTTCTTTTTAAGACTCTCTTTTGTAATACACGTATATCTTTATTTATATTCTTTGCAGTTATTGATTTTGTTCTGAACTGAAGTACACTTGGTGAAACACAAATAGGCTGGCTGTATGCGAACCTAAGCCTTACAAATGGGTATATGCATTTTTCTGTCAAAGCAAGTACCTGATATTCAAAGTGGCTAAATGGATGAGAGGGTATGCTGGCAGGCAGGCATTGAGGCATTGTGGCTAAAAAATCCTAAGCCAGGTCCTATTCTTTGAATTTTACACTATAGAACTTAAATTTTATTAATAAAACCATATGTTATCAAAGTTTTGAGCATTTACATGATATGTTCAGGACTGTGGGTTTTTTTTCATCTCTCTGGTGATTAGGGGAACAAGCAATAAGATATTTGCCTTTTGACCCAGCGATTCCACTGCTGGGAGTATACCCTAAGAATCCCAAAGCACCAAATCAAAAGAACCTATGCACCCCAATGTTCATAGCAGCACAATTTACAATAGCCAAGTGCTGGAAACAACCTAAGTGCCCATCAGTAAATGAGTGGATCAAAAAACTATGGTACATTTACACAATGGAATACTATGCAGCAGAAAGAAAGAAAGAGCTACTACCCTTCATGACAGCATGGATGGAACTGGAGAGCATTATGCTAAGTGAAATAAGCCAGGGAGTGAAAGACAAATACCATATGATCTCACCTATAACTGGAACCTAATCAACAAAACAAGCAAGGAAAATATATTCGGCAACATTGAAAGAAAAAAGAAACCAACAGAAACGAGAGGGAAGAAGGGAGGGGGGTAGCGTGGAAAGGAAGGGGAGAGGTCAAATCAAGGAACATGTATGAAGGACACATGTATGAAGCCAAGGTGGAGAGGGATTGAGGGAGGGAGGTGGGGGTGGGAGGAGCATGGGAAAGTGGTGGCGGGTAAATGGAGACAAATGTATTTGAACAATAAAAAAAAAGATTTCCCTAGAGTTTTCCACTACTATCCCAGACATATGATAAGAGCCTAAACTAAAACATTCATTCATTCATTCATTCATTCATTTAACAAACACTTATTAAGGGCCTATTACATGTCAGACAGTATTCTAGAAGTTAGATATATCTAGAAACTAGGTAAATCGATAATCAAACCATGATTCTTACCCTTATAGACCTTACATTCTAGCAGTGGCAATGGAGATGGAAGACAAGGAACTGATTGAAGAGACATTTTTGAAATAGAAATAGCAGGATATTTGCATTCATTAAATGTGAAGATTGACTTCAATGTCTCTGGTTGTATTTTGCTTGCTTGTTTGTTTTGTTGATTAGGTTCCACTTATAGGCGAGATCATGTGAAATAAAGAACAAACTGACAGGAACCAGAGGGGAGGCCGGACGGGAAGAAGCGGGGGGTGGGGGGGGGAAGGAACATACGTAAAGGACACATGGACAAAGCCATAAGGGGGTAGGATTGAGGGTGGGGGGTGGGAATAGGTGGGATGGAGGGAGCTGGTGGGGGGGGAATGGAGACAACTGTACTTGAACAGTAATAAAAAAAGAAAATATATGATTGCCTACTTAAAGACTCCAATAAACTAAAAATATAGTACTTAAAAATAAATGTGAAGATTAAGAGAATAGATGGATTAAAAAAATAACTGCAAGATATTCTGGATTGGATGATTAGTTGGTTGCCAAAACAGTTAACTAAGTAGAATATAGAGGAAGAAAAACAAGTTTGAGAGTTAAGATAATGTTTGCTTCCAACTATTTTGAGTTAAGGTCAGCAGCCCAGAGAGGTGCTCTGCAAACAGTTGGAAATAACAGATATTTAACATAAGTAAGGGACCCGAAGCTCAAGAGCTCAACATATAGATATAGTTGAGTGATATATAGCTATATACCTTGTCAATCTATGGTTGTGGGCACCAATTCAAATGTCAACAGGAATCCCCAATTGGGCTGCCGACTTGAGAAAACAGCACTGCGGTGGAACAAATCAGTTTTAACACAGAACGGCTGTGAAAACAGCAAGGCTGTAGAACAGCCTTGGGGCCAGGCCTCTCTCTATCTAGAGACAGCTGTGCTCTGCATCAGTCTGCTTTGGTCTGCTCTGCTCTGGAGAGACATCTTCACCGCTAAAACTCACCCAAAGGAAAGTATAATCTCCCAACCAGCGGGGCGCTGATTTATATGGACAGAAGTCCCGCCCCTGGTCCCTGATTGGTCCTTCCTCTTGCAAACAAGGACTCAGAATCCTCAGTTTGATTTGTCCAAAGCCATTGTCCTGATTGGCCAGAATAGAGTCACGCTGATTGGCCAGAGCTGTGCAGCTCCAACTGGATGGGGAACGCTCAAGTATTACTTGTTGAAATAGGATCCCAGGAAACCGTTATAGGGGCTAGTTCATTTGGTATAAACAATGCAGGCAGGCAGTTCAACACGGAGACAGGTAGTTTTGTGCAGAACAAGCAGCTGAGCGCAGAGGCTTCTCCCTGAAGTGCAATTTGTCTGAGAGACCTCTGTCCAGAAATAGATGCTAGGCTCGGTTTTTAAAATTTGAGCCCAATTAGCCACCAGGATCCCTTTTTAGCAGGTTGTCTCCTTTTTCCTCTTGGTTCAAAACATATGAATATATAGATATAGATACACCTTCCAATGTACACACAGAGGAATGGAGAAGACTGGGAAGAGGGTACAATGCAAAAAATAAAAGAGCAGTAGGACAAATACTTCTGGTCCTGTGGCTGCTCATGGTTTAACAATGAGGATAGACATCTATAATGCAAGAAATTGAAAAGTACTTTTTTTTTTTTACTGTTGACACTATTACAGATGTCCTCATTTTCCCCTGCTTGGTCTGTCTCCATCCACCATTTACACCCCTCTTCCTTCTAGCAATTCCCACACTGTTGTGTCTACGGGTCATACCTATATGTCCTTTAGCTAATCCCTTCACCTTCTTTCATCCAGTGCCCCCCTCCTCCCTCCCGTCTGACAGCTGTCAGCCTCTTCCATGTTCCATGCCTCTGTTTCTACTTGGCTCATCAGTTTATTTTGTTTACTAGATTCCACATACAAGTGAGATCATATGACATTTGTCTTTCTCTGAGGGCTTATTTCACTTAGCATAATACCCTCTAGGTCTATCCATGCAGTAGCAAAAAGTAAGGTTTCCTTCTTTTTATGGCTGAGTAGTATTCCAATATGAATATGTATCACAACTTTCTTATCCACTCATCTGCTGATGGGCACTTGGGCTGTTTCCAGCACTTGGCTATTATAAATAATGTTGCTATGAACATAAGGGGTGCATAGGTTCTTTCAAATGGGTGTTTCAAGATTCTTAGGACATATTCCCAGCATGGAATTGCTGGGTCAAAAGGCAGTTCCAGTTTTAGCTTTTTGAGGAAATTCCATACTATTCCACAGTGGCTGCACCAGGCTGCATTCCCACCAACAGTGCACTAGGGTTCCCTTTTCTCCACATTCTAGCTAGAAGTTGTTGTTGATTTATTGATGGTACCCATTCTGGCAGGTGTGAAGTGCTATCTCGATGTGGTTTTAATTTGCATCTCTCCGATGATTAGTGACATTGATAATTTTTTTCATATGTCTATTAGTCATCTATATGTCCTCTATGAAGAAGTGCCTATTGAAGTACTTTGCTCATTTTTTAATTTGTTGTTTGTCTTTCTGATGTTGAGTTGTATAAGTTCTTTACATATTTTGGAAATTAACCCCTTATGAGACATAGCATAGGCAAATATGTTCTCCCATTCTGTGGGCTCCCTTTTTATTTTGTCGATGATTTCCTTTGTTGTGCAAAAGCTTTTGAGTTTGATGAAGTCCCATTTTTAAATATTTTTGTTTCCCTTGCCCAGGGAGACATATCAGCAAAAACATTGTTACAAGAGACGTTTGAGATTTTACCATCTAAATTTTCTTCTAACATTTTTATGGTGCTGTTACTTACATTTAAGTCTTTTATCCCCTTTGAGTTTATTCTTGTGTATCATGTAAGTTAGTGGTCAAGTTTTTTGTTTTTTGTTTTTTTGGGCATGTACCTGTTCAATTTTCCCAACACCATTTATTGAAGAGACTGCCTATTTTCCATTGTATGCTCCTGTCTCCTTTATCAAATATTAATTGACTGTAAAGGTGTGGGTTTATTTCTGTGCTTCTTGTTCTCTTCCATTGATCTATGTGTCTGTTCTTATGCCAGTACCAGGCTGTTTTGAATACAGTGGCTTTTTAGTATAGTTTGATATCAGGTAGTGTGATACCTTTAACTGTGATTCTTAAGATTGCTGAAGCTATTTGGGGTCTTTTGTGTTTCCATATAAATTTTTGGAATATTTGTTATAGATCTGCAAAATATGCCATTGGCAATTTAATAAGAATTGCAATGAATCTATATAGATTGTTTTGGGTAGTATGGGCATGTTAATGATGTTAATTCCTCAAGTGCATGCATGTTGTATATGCTTCCACTTACTTGTATCTTTCTCAATTTCTTTCTTCAACATTGTACAATATTCCAAGTACAGATCTTTTACCTTCTTGGTTAAACTTATTCTTAGGTACTGAAATGAATGTTTCAAATAGTTCAATACTGGTGTATAAAAAGTGCTACTTTGTCAAATTCATTTCTTAGATGTAGTTGTTTTTTGGTGGAGTCTTTAGGTTTTCCTATGTACGGTATCATGTCTTCTGTAAATAGTGAGTTTTACTCCCTTCTTTCTAATTTGGATGTCTTTGCTTTTTCACACTTGTGAAATAATAGAAACCTGTGGTCTTCCTGAAGTTCGTTTACTCCACATATGGTAAAATTCACCTTTACAAAACCATCTCAAGTAGAAATGATAGAGGAGGGAGAGATACAGCTTGGAAGAGGTAGCAATTAAAGCTTGCAGAAATATATAAATGCCAAATAATATCAGAAAGACAACATTTGAGGATTGTACATATATGTATGTATAGTTATATAGACTTCTATATTTAAAATAAAAATACAATATTATTTGATTACATAATAATAAGATACAACTTATGGAAGGGGAAGATTTATTCACTTGGATACATTCTCCATCTGGCTAAGGGAAAAGCTAAGGAAAACCTTACGCTATAAGGGATTCGGTCAGGAAAGAACAAGGTGTACATAGGAAATGTGAGCTATGGAAGTAGAGGGCTGCTTCTTACACAGTGGAATTTTTGTCAAAGCTGTAAATTCGTTGAGCACTGGATCACACTATCCTGACCTCCATCCATTGCTCAGGCAGAACCCTCACACCCTCTTCTTATCAGCACGGCTGTCTCATAAATCTAGGGCAGAGCTTCCCATTTTTCTCTCTGCAGGGTCAACTGGAAATGTGGTATTACAAGATAGGGGTGAAAGGGCAATCCTCTGCCAAAAAGCTTTCTAATTTTCTTCTCTTACCCTACTTCTGGAGCAAATGGTTTTCTTTTCCCTAAAGGGAATAGTTGTCTCATGTCAGAATGACATCCTTGTTGATAGGGAAATGACAGCAGGGCAGGATGACCCCAGAAGTTGATGGGATTTTTACCTAATAGTCAGAGAAGAAGAATAATAGAATGAGCACTTATTCGAGACAGATGAGGAGTTCCATGCCTCAAAGGACTGAAGTCTTGCATCGGACTATTTGGTGGCAGGACCAACAGTAATGTTCCTGCAGTCGCTGCTACTGTTGCTACCTTGGCTACAAGTGTATCACTGGGTGCCAGAAGGAGAGGGGTTAGTGACTTCTTTTAATCACTCCCCTTATCTGCTTGCCAAGAGACAAGGTTATAGAGGTAGGATGAGGTTAAGAATTGATCTCTAAGAGGAATCTCATGGTCTGTGGGGAATGAAAAAACTTCAGGAAAAAAAAAAAGCGCAGTCTGGCTGCCGGTGAACATACCAGGGTGATGTTAGCACTCTGTGTGCCATCCAGTTCTATCTCTGTATCAACTACTTTTTACATGAATATATACTAGTGTCAGAAGGCCTCATGGAGGGGGTGAGTGTTGTAGAACTGCAGAGTAGAGGGGGTCACATTAGCCAAAGTACCCTTCCCAGCCATGCAAAATCACCTTTGCCAACTTCTGGAAGTGATTCCCTAACATGTCTGCTTCCAGGCTGCTACTAAGCACTCACAGGTACACAGGAGTCCAAAGAGGCAAACGAAAGAATGAAAGCAGTCATCAGCCAGCTGCGTATTTATTCTCTAAGTATTCTATAAGTATAAGGAGAATACTACAGGCCTCAGAATTTTCATCTGGAGAGTCAAAAGTGTCTTTAAGCTCTATGGATCTTATTCCCATTGTCTGGAAACAATAAGTTAAAAAGTCTAGCAAATGTGACAAAGAAAAGCTCATCGCATCAAGTGCGAGATCTTAAAGACTTTACCAACAAAATTAGACAAAGACAAGTAGCTAGAAACACCCCTGGGGACCATGCAAGAATCCCTGAGAAACTTGGTTAGTTGGACTCCCTTAACAATTTAAGCTCCACTTCCCAACCTCACAAGTCATTAGATGGGTCCCTGAGTCAATATGCATCCATTCATCCCCTCCCCTTCTCATCCTCTTGGGTGAAAGGGAGCTGGCTATCAGCAGAGCAAGAATTACCCAGAGTCTGGCAGAACATTTGCCCAACCTGGAACACTGGAAGGAGTTCAACGTAAGAAGGTAAGGTCTGGTAAATCCCAGAGAAGAATGAGGTATCTGACATTTGAAACTATTATTGGAAACCATGTTCACTCTGTATGAGATATGTGGTTCCACCTGAAGAAAGGATGTCATTATAAAATGCAATTTTTGGTATGGGATAACAATTTAGCAACATTATTTGTGTATATATGTGTATATGGCTACATGAATATATATTCCAATAAGAGGAAGAAGTAATAGTTAAGTTTAAAACAATAGATTAGTAAATTATCAACAAATAGTAACATGTGGATAATGTATCCACTGGTGGGTTGTGGACAAGAATCTCTCATAAGATAATAGAATGTTGGTTGACTGTCCACCATGGTTGGTTGAAGGCAGGGATATCTGCGCAACCTTCATATGAGAAGTGACATTCTTGATTGAGGGTTTCCCCCCTTGAGAGGTAAACAGAGGTGAGGAGCCCCCTCTTACTGCTTATCTTCCCTGGCCGTAGCCCAATATGAGGTCCAATGGAGAATGGGGGACAGAGACAAAGGAGGTCTTCTGCCCTTGAGAGTAGTAGTAAAGGAGTGGAAGGAATTGCCTTAAGCCAAATTGGCTGCATTCGGCCAAGACAGCCAACTCTGAACCAGCTTTTGATTCAAGGAAAACCAGTCTAGAACACAATTCAACTAACAAGATAAATTATAAATGACATCAATTCAGAATCTGGAGCTTCAAAATAACTTTGTAACAGTTTAACACTCTGAAGTGTTACTGTTTGCTGGTGTAAGCGTCCTATCACAAATTCCTACAGATAGGACTGTGGTCATTTCTTTGTAAATTATTGTTCCCAAGACCTGTTGTGAGGGGTCCTTGGAACTGTATGAAGGTGTTTATATTGACTTTGTATCTACATGAAGTCTAGTTAAGAGTCCTGGTCAGTGTGTGCCTTAAGAAAAAGCTTTTTATAAAGCAGATGCAATACAAGCATGTCCTGCCAAAGGTGAATTCTCTTGCTGAATTATTGAACGAATTTCTCTTCACTAAACCAGTGGGTAGCAGAGCCATGTGCATTGCTAGAGTTTTTTGAAACAGTTGAGAGGCTCTCTCCCCCAGTTAAATCAGAAATACAAGATCATCATTGACTCTGTTCTTGGGGGTCCCACTGCATAAAGCTTGTGTTAGCTAAAGCTGGTCCTTGGCAAGACTGAGGACCATCGAGACTAACTGGGATTTCACATCAGGTGGGTATCCAAATGGTGATCAGTTTCTTGCTATCTCAAGAGCCAATCATTTTTCAGCAGAGACAGGAAAAAGGGAGGAATCAGGTTTAGCCCTTCACTATGACCCTCCAGTGGTAACTTCTTCCATTCAACCCATAGGTCTTACTAGGACAGCAGCAAAGCTGATTCAGGTAATTTCTTGGAAGTACAGCTGCAAAACAAGCACTTCCTGAAGAATATTTGAAGAGGACCTCCCCCCCTAATAGTAGCTGGAGGCTGGTGGTTGTCCCCTACCCTGTCTTCCATCACATACGTGGCACCACTTTTTGTGAACCAAGCAGCAAATGTGTCTAGTATTGTCAATAGGCTAAGGGATGGGAAGAGATAAGAAGGCTTGCATTTACCTCTTTGTTTTGAGTATCCCCAAACTCGGGTTTTCTTTCTAGGACTCAGGCTTGTGTGTCTCTGGGTCCCTTTACAAACTTCTTAAATGGACAGGTAATGGGACTAGCTTGCCTCTAATTGCCTTTTACATCACTAATGCTCTTGAGTCACAAGTGAAAATTGGGTTTCAGAGTCCTGGGTTTCTTTGGGCCACTACAGAAGAGAAGGGGAGCAGTTGGAGCAGAAGCCCAGGCCTCTGTTTCCATGAGGGAGGAAAAAAAGCTATTCTTGAGATTTATCCCAGTTGCATCATCATATACATTAGCAGGTGTTTATGTGTATGCACACGTGTCTACATGGTCTAGACAGTGGAAGAAGCCTTGGGCCAGTAGTCAGGAGACTTGCATCCAAGCCTCTTCATTTTTCTGGTTCTTAGTTTTCCCATTTACAAAATGGGAAGTGGAAACGAACCAGAGCATCTTTAAGGTCTCATTTTTGTAGGATGTTACTTGCTCCCCTTTTCCCTGGTGCTATCAGCATGAATTAGAGGAGGTGGCTCACTTTCTCAAAAATCAATGAATAGCCCCATCAGACAATCCAGAGATGAGCTTAGAATGAAGGTGCATGGCCCTGCCGCATCAGATTCCAATGAAGAGTTGCTTTTGAAAGAAGAGATTACAGAAAGGGCCACGATTTATTTAGTCATCCCTGACCACCAGGAGGGGAACTACACTTTCCTCCCTTGGCAGAGAGGTAGCAACAGGGTTTTTCTACAAGGAGAGAAGTACAGGGCCAATCTGGAAGGGCACTGGGCACAAATCCTTCCCTCACTGCTTTCGTCTGAGTCCACATAGACACATATGCAGATCTGGGAGCTTGTGTCAAAGTCATGCTATTGAAATTCACATGACTTTGATCGTATGTTTTCTGGTATGGGAACAATAGAAAGGTGATGAGAGCGGTAGTTCACAGGGAGACCATCCTAAATATACTGGACATTGCCAACTCTCACTGGGACTGCTAGAACCAAAGGAGGCCATGCAGCGTTAGAGATGCCTCATGGGTGACATTACGGGCAAATAGCTGCCAACTCCGTTCTACTGGCAAACCCTAGTAAATTTCAGGTCTCAAAAATGGCTGCTGTAATTTTTTTTTAAAGAAAAGACATTCAGGGAGAAGTCCACCAAGCCCTGTTTGGAGGCTCATTGCCAAGATCTGCATATGATGTGGTCAAAGATCCTGACTGGAGGCTCTGTGGGTCTTTGATGGGTCAACAGAGATTGTTCCTTCTAATGGCCTCATGCAAGTATAATGGGCAAAGTTGGTGGTAAGACGCATGGAATTAGCAAATGCGCTATTGTGAATCTGAGCACACCCAGGTAGGGTCATTGGTGTATAACAGGAAGAGAAATGGGACTGAACATCCTGCTGTCTCTCTATCAGGCCTGGGGTCTGGCTTTAGCCAGCTGTGCCTCCAAAAGGAATGTGAGGAATGGAGATTCTCTGCCCATGTATTCTTTTTCTCATTCTCTAGTCCCAAACGCATAATTCTGCTACCATGACCTGAATGTGAACAGAATGGGTTGATTTCTGAGGAAAAAGAGGAGTGGTTTGGAAGGAGTGGGAAAGGGGACTAGAACTAAGTTACAGGGATAGAGTGCTGTAGTGGACCACAGAATTATAGTCGGGCGGGGGGCTGTGACACTCGAGGGTAGGATCCAGTGGCAGGAGGGAGGTCTCCTTCATCCGGTCTTCCTCTCCAATGTCCAGGGTTGAATATTTCACAATCTCCATGTCATTCTCTCTCTGAAGGGACTCCTTGTTCTTGATGACAGTACTCAGGCTGGTCAAGGAGAAAAAGAAACATACTTAGGCTAGAACAGATAATTTTGGAGACGGGAGGCCCTATTTTAGACAGAGAGACGCCAGAAGTCGGCAGACATGTAGGAAGACCGAAGCCTCTTTGGAAAAGATCACGTTTTTCCCTTTGGGGAAGCCAAAGATCAGTGCAGGTCTATGAAAATTATGGTGACCCTGTGCTAGGCAAATGGGGAAAATCAAGAAATAGAAACTGTGGTCCCTTCTGGCAGGCAGTTTTTAATCTGATTGGGGAAAGCCATTAAAAATATTTACAATGTGGCATGTGTTCACTGCTAACATTGCCTCAAGGCCCAGGAAACTCTACAGAGCTGTGAAACTTTATAGAGCTGTGTAACTTTTGAGATGTGCTTCAATTTCTTCACCTGTACGATGAATATGAGGAAAGAGAGTTGGATTAGGTGACTTTTAAGCTCTTTCTTGTTCTAATTTTTTGGACTATTTCTGGCCTGTAAAAATGGCAACTACATGTAGTTTAACTTAAAGCTTTGAGATCATCATCCTTTCTGTTATAGAAAGAATACTGTGTAACCCTAGGCCAGTTTATTCTATTCACTATTACTCAATTTCCTCATATGTAAAATGAGGACTGAAAGGTCTCCAAGGAAGTAAAAGACCTGTGCTCAAAAAAAAAAATACTAAAGAAAATGAAGAAGATAAAAAGAAATGGAAAGATATACTGTGCTGATGGATAGGAATAATTATCATTAAAATGTCTATAATACTCAAAACAATCTATACATTCAACACAATTCCTGTCAAAATACCATTGGTGTTTTTCACAGAACTAGAACTAATAACCCAAAAATATATATAACAAACTTCAAAAGACCTTGAATAACTAGAAAATTTGGGAAAGATATTATGTATCATGCTATGTAATATCAAAGTATACTACAAGGCCGTAGCAATCAAAACAGCATGGTACTGGCATAAAAGCAGACAATATATATCGATGGAACAGAAAAGAGATCTCAGAAATAAATAAACCCACATCTATATCATAAATGATTATTTGACAAATGAGGCAAAAATATACAATAGGGTAAAATAGTCTATTCCATAAGTGGTGTTTGAAAAATTGCACAGATACATGGGAAAAATTAAATAACCAACTTCTTACAGCATATACAAGAATAAACTCAGAATCAACTTAAGACTTAAATATAAGACTCAAAACCAAAACATAAAACTCCTAGAAGAAAATATAGGCAGTAAACTCTGACATTTCCCTTAGCGATATTTTCTCTGGTGGGGGTGTGGGGTCTGGGGTGGAAGGAAAATATTTAAAAAGTGGGAATACATCAAAATAAAAATCAGGGACTAGAAGAAGTAAGGCCTGCTTGAGTGTGGTTGGTAGGATAATGATTTATAGTTTTAATTTGAACATGTCACCTAAAATGTTACATGGTGTTCTTGAGCGTGATATCGTTATATTGCAGAATTACATGTTTATGATTTCATAACAAAAGATTTTGTGTGAAAAAGGGACATTATCTGCACTGAACCCTGTATTTCTGCACAGCAAAGGAAACCATCAACAAAACGAAAATACAACCTCCAGGATGTGACTCACCTATGATACATCTGATAAGGGATTACTATCCAAACTTTAGAAAGATCTCAGACAACTTAAAAACAGAAAAAGAAGCAACTGAATTAAAAAATGGGCAAAGGACCTGAATAGACACTTCTCCAAAGAGGACATAGAGATGACCCAATAAACATAGGAAAAACATGTCTATTATGACACAGGCTCAACATCATCCATTGCGATGGCTGGCGGTTGTCAGGCTCTCCTACAGCTGCTGGGTCTCCTCATGAGTGCACATCAATAGAGGCCAGTGTCGAGAGTCAGGTTTAGGGCATACAGGTATATAGCTGCATCAGCTGGCTGCATGTGAGCCCCTTCGTGCCAGCCAGTGACATGAGACAAGAATTGATCAAAGCCATTCAATAACCGCAGTCCCTGGCTGTGCACATTCCCTCCTGTCACTGCATGGTCTCCCGGAGGCACATGTCAGTTTAGCTTGATGGGTAGCATAGGGTCAGTGGCATGCTGGCACAAAGCTGGGGAGGGGTTTATCCCCATGTACACATTAAGCATGTACACATTAGCGGGTACGGCTACAGGTGTATAGATGTATAGGCAGGGATCTTATAATCATGCAGCTTTAGAGGCCTGGGGTGGCTGCCAATGGGGGTCCTTTCTCTGGTGGGGGCACAGGGGCTGAGGCAGAGGTATCTGGAAGGTATTCTGGCAGCTGCTGTACTACCAATAGGAATATGTGTATGGGGTAAAAACTGGTGAAATTCACAAGGGGTCCAGAGCAACTGTGTTGGCTATTGATTTCTTCAGTGGATAAAGCTACCGAGACTGGGAACCGTAGTCACTCCAGTTTGTAGCGCTGATATGATAGCCTGTTTTTCGTCCTTATTCCTAATCATCTGCATACATCCCAACTTTGTTAATAGTCTCTGGGTGGGGTAAAAGTGAAGCTGGTCTTTTGTATTATGCCTCGGAATGCTGGGGAATCAGGTAACTTTCCTTTTGCCCAGTGAGGGAAACTTTCTCTAGATAGGAAGTTCCGTCTTGGCACCGAGCAACACTGGCTTGGGAGGTGCAATCATGCAGGCAAAATGAAGCTGATTTGCCTTCCCTTTTTAAAAGATTATTCTCCATTTGTTCCACTGCGTTGCTGAAGTTTCTAAAGCGGACTCCATATCTCTCCCAGAGGTGTTCTCATGGACAGATGTCTAATTGCTGGTCTTTGTAGGGAGGCAGAGGGTGGGTTTTCCTATGTCATCATAGGTGACATACTGTAGGTGGAGATTGGAAAAAAAAAAAAAAAAAGCTTCCCAGAAAGGAGAATGTGAATTTGTGATGTCAGTGACCTTGTTGCTTCCAGGGAGAAACTGTCTTGAAGCAGTTTCACTGACTCAGTGAACCATCTGGAGGACTGACTCGGCTGCCTCAATAAAATGAAGTTTGATCCTCTCCAAGATTTTCATGTAGCCCTCCTGAAGAAAAAATCTCCAAGTGGGAAAGGCATTCCCTTCTTCCTCATCGGCAAATGATATGGTTGTAACTAATGGGCTCAGCCAGTGTTTCAACAATAACAGGCGATGTTGAATAAACTACTAGACAAGGCCTCCTGGACCAGAGCTCAGTTCTTACTTTCTCCAGATGGACTGGAAAGTCCCACCCCTCACAGCTTTGGACTCTCCATTCTTAAGAGAAAGGTAGAATTTAGAGGACTGTGTGCTATTTTTCCTAACACTCCAGCTGGGATGACTCTAGGATTGTCTTTCTTCTGAAACACACTATGACTTGCAGCTGTCATTAAATGTTTACAGTGTTAGGAGCAACATACCAATCAATCAAGTGCAGAATAAGCTAGACTTGATGTGTAAGATGTGGAAAATTTTGAGAACTAAAGCTTTTTAAAAAAGATTTATGTGACAAGCATCATTGGAATCATACAAATTTTTCAGCCAATGACTATGTGATGGGATTGGGAATTGCTGTGTAAATGCTGTGTGCATTCTTGGTGGGCTCACCATAAGCCTCAGCTCCTCTGGGGATCTTCTACTAAGACCATGACAACCTTATATTTTGTGTAGATTAGTAAAAGGTACCCCCTGTGGACAGAATCCTTCCTTTGATCCTTAATGAATGGTAAACTAACTCTGTGAAAGATGTTCCTTCCTCTAGGCCTGCAAGTAGAACATGAGCTAGATTCAGTCCCCATTTGCTCCCTGAGCTGAGCACCTGTGTCTTATACAAACTACACAACTGTAAATGTAGACCCTGCCTTGATGTCTTACCCCTGTGTTGATTTCTCTGTTCTCTGAACTCTTAATCCACACCGCTTATTTATGCCCCCTTGACAAAACTCCCTAGACTTGCTCGTAATCATGCAGATCTTATATTGCTGGTAGATGGTCGGTTGTTTTGAGTGGTCTTATTTTACACCATCTCAGTGCCTAATAATGTTGAACACAAAGGTATTGAATATGTTCATTGTTCACTTGAGGTGAATTAAATTGTGCTTATTCTTATCTTCAATTGTCCTTGGGCCCTCTCCACTTACCATTCAACATTCTCTGTTGGCAGGAGCATTTTTTTTAACTCCTCTCATGTGAAGGACATGCTGTAAGAGGCACACTCTCCCCCAATCTTTAAAAAAAAAACAACCCTCACTGTGAGAGGGAAATTAATTATCAGATTGGTGAGGAGAAGTAATTGCTATGCTTTTCTCAAGTCCTTCCTCTCTTTAGGACTTTCTTGGTTGCGAAAAAAAAAAAGTGTATTTTCCCTGAGGGGGAACCCTGAAATTTCAGGGTAAATCTAATTCAGGAGAGTGTTCACAAGTCCTTCTGGATGCACCCGTAAGCCAATTCTCTAATTTAGCTTATATCAACAAGAAAGCTGGAGCAAAGACCTTAGGTTGGCACTATCATTTATGTTTTAGTTTGTTCAGAACTCTAGAAAAAGAGGAGTATAATTTCCTGATCCCCCTGTTAAAACAATTACTGATTCTGGACAAGTATCCTTGGTCATAGTTTTCCAAGCCATTATGTGAAAGAATCAGGAGCTACTGGATCTCACCTGGCTTCCATGCTGATGTTACTGCTTACGGTCTCTTCCACAGGATCCAGGGCCATGAATGTGGGCGGTCCACCGGTGCCATTCAGAGGTATGTAGTCTTTGCCATCCTGCATATGGAAACACATGTGTCCATCATTCCCAAGGTACAAATATACCAACCTGCATTTGTGATATCCTTTCCTGCCTACATCTGGCTCTAAGAGCTGGCTGGCTTTCATTGGATAGTTCAGAAGTTTGCTCTACTTTTCTATTTACCTCAAAATTCCTGCTCAAGAATTAGAGCCACACGTTTTGTGCCACTGAGTCTGATTAATAATGCTGTGTTTACAAACTTTTGGATTCAGGGTTTTTTATTCAAATGTTTAATAAAGAATTTTCCCTTCTCCTCTCTTAATTTCCCCTATCCTTTCTCCTCTTAAATAAACAATCTTACAAGTGATGAAGGGAGTGAGCAGAAACAGAAAGTCCTCTAAGAAGAGAAACAGTGAAGGGATCCAAGATGGCAGTGAGTACGTGGAAGTTACATTCACCTTCTTTGAGCACCAAATCTGAACTACAACTAAATTATAGAACAAGCAACCTGAATAATCAATAAAAGGCTAGCTAAACAGAAGTCTTATAATGAAGGATATACAGAAAAAGCTGCCTGCAGACTGGTAGGAAGGCCAAAGATGCAAAAAGGAATGGTCCTGTGCCCACTTGTGGTAGTTGAGAATCTGGAGGGATATCTCAGCTGCACAAATCCCCCTTGAGGAACAAGGAATCTCAACCCCATGCCAGGCTCCCCAACTCAGAGCACCAGTGCTAGAAAGAGGAGCCCCCACAGCATCTGGCTGTGAAAATCAGCAGATTCTGACCACCAGGATGAGGTAGAAAGCCGTGAGAAACGCAGGTACCCTCTCTTAAAGAGCTAGCACACAAATTCTTATTTGCAGCCACTCATCCTGGAATCCCATGGAGGGACCTCAGCTCAGAGCACACTGGGATCCTGTAGGGAGAGACTAGATTGTGAAGCTTTGGGGAGAGAGACAGAGGGATGCTGAGTACCTTTCCCACACTGCCCAAAGACGCCATCTTTCCTGGGTCAAGCACTCCTCTCTACATGGCACCAGCCAGGGTGTGCACTAGCCCCTGGGCGTGCACAGCAAAGGAAAACAGCCTCTTGAGTAGGAGACAGTATTTGCCAATAATACATGTGATAAGATGTTAGTATTGAAAATTACCTAAAAAACCACATATAACTCAGCACCCAAAAAACCAAACCATCCAATTAAAAATGCACAGAGGACCTGAATAGGCATTTCACCAAAGAGGGCATACAGACAACCAATAGATACATGAAAAGATGCTCAGCATCACTGATCATCAGAGAAGTGCAAATTAAATCAAAATGATGTATCACCTCACACCTGTCTGAATGTCTCTGATCAGTAAGTCAAAAACAACAGGTGCTGGTGAAGATATGGGAGAAGACGGAATCCTCCTGAACTGTTGGAATAAGTGCAGATTGCTGTGGCCATTATAGAAAACAACATAATCCTCAAAAAATTAAAAATGAAACTGCTTTATGACCGTGTGATCCCACTTCTAGAGATGTATCTGAAGCAAGCCAAAATACTAATTTGAAAGAACATAGGCATCTTATGTTTATTGCAGCCTTATTTACAATAGCCAAGAAATGAGAGCTACCCAAGTGTCCATCAATATATGAGTAAACAAAAGAGCTGTGGTACATCTATACAATGGAATATGACCCAGCCATAAAAAGAATGAAACCTCACCACTTGCAACAGCATAGATTGACAAAGAGGGCATTACGCTAAGTGAAATAAGTTAGATGGAAAGACAAATACTGTAAGATTTTACTTACACGTGAAGTCTAAAAAAGAAAATGAACAAATAAAATAGAAACAAATCCATAGATACAGAGAACACACCGATGGTTGCTAGATTGGTGGGGGTTTGAGCGTATGAGTTTTAAATGGAAGGAATTCAGATGTACCAATTGTTATGTATCAAAATAGTCATGGTCATTTAATGTACAGCATAGGGAATACAGTCACAACAGTATTGTAATAACTATGTATGGTGTCAGATGGTACTGGAAATCTCAGGATGATCACTTTGTAAGGTATATCATTATCTAACCACTATAATTGCAAACCTAAAACTAATACAAAATAATACTGAATATGAGTTGTAACCGAAAACCAAAATTTAAATGAAAAACGTAAGATAATCAGTGAAAGTATAAATTGCTATAAAATGACTCTTTGTTTAACTTTGGCTTGACAAGGGGAGGCTGCTTGTGAGGAACATCTTATCAGAAACTGAAAGGAGTTCCTTATTAGGTGTAGCGGACAGTTTAGCAACATTGTTGCCTGTTGCTATGTGAAAAGTAGAAAATTTGACTAATACATTCAATGACCTTGGTGATGTTATTTTTACTGATGGTGCCATATGGTTGGATCTTTTTGCTGCTAATAAAATGCAAGAAAGATACAATTGTGGGAAGGACAAATTGTTAAATGAAGGGAGTCAGGAATTGATGGTTTTCAATATTTTTTCTTCTCCAGATAGTAACGTATGTCCTAAAATAAACAAACAGCTTCTGAACAAAGAATAAATCTATGACACGGTCAAGGAACTATGGCTTAAAGATCAACCTAGAGAACAACAGTGCTTCTAGGAACTTTAAGGAGATTGTCAAACATTTTAGCAAGAGTCTAAATTATAGAAATGCTTATTTCAGAAAAGTTTGTGGGTGTGGTTTTATTCAAAGAAAGTGAACCCCAATGAACTTCATGGGAAGACCACAAAAGTTTTAAGAAAATCGTATGATCAGAAACACTGTCAACATGCACTGAAAAGGACAGAGACAGTATATAATGAAAAGAGGCCATTAAAGTTCTTCAATTCTATTGGCAGTAAGTCGGCTGGAAAAAAAAAACAACAAACAAACCAAATATTGAGCTGCAAATATGTTTTTGCTCATTGAGTATGATGATGGCTGTAGGTTTCTCATATATGGCCTCTATTATGTTTAGGTATGTTACCTCTATTCCCACTTTGGTGAGAGTTTCTATCATAAATGGGTGCTGGATTTTATCAAATGCTTTTTCTGCATCTATTGATAAGATCATGTGGTTTTTATCCTTCATTGTTTATGTGGTGAATCACATTTATTGATTAGGGAATGTTGTACCAAACCTTGTATTCCCAGAATAAATCTCACTTGATTATGGTGTATGATCTTTTTGATGCAATGCTGTATTTGGTTTGCTAATGTTTTGTTGAGGATCTTAGCATCTATGTTCATCAGAAATATTGGCCTATACTTTTCTCTCTTGGTAGTGTCTTTATCTGGTTTTGGAATTAGGATAATGCTGGCTTTGTCAAATGAGTTTGGGAGTCTTCCTACCTCTTGAATTTTATGAAATAGTTTGAGAAGGAGAGGTTTTAGTTCTTCTTGGAATATTTGGTAAAATTCACCTGTGAAGCCATCTGGTCCAGGGCTTTTGTTTTTTGGGAGTTTTTTGATTACTGCTTCAATTTTACTAGGTGCAATATGTTTATTCAGAATCTCTGATTCTTGCTGATTTAGTTTTGGAAGACTGTTTGTTTCCAGGAATTTACCCATTTAATACAGGTTGTCCAGTCGGTTGGCATATAGTTGCTCATAATGGATTTTCTCACAATCCATTGTACTTCTTTGGTGTCAGTTGTTATTTCTCCTCTTTCATTTCTGATTTTATTTGGGTCCTTTTTTTTCTTAATGAGTCTGGTTAAAGTTTTGTCAATCTTGTTTATCTTTAAAAAACCAGCTCTTAGATTCATTGATCTTTTGTATTGGTTTTTAGACTCTTTCATTTGTTTCTGCTCTGATATTTATTACTTCCTTCCTTCTACATTAGGTCTTCTTTGTTGTTATTTTCCAATGTCCTTTAAGTTAGAAGCTAGATTGTTCATTTGAGTTTTCTCTTATGTTTTGAGATAGTCCTGTAATGCTATGAATTTCCCTCTAGGATCGCTTTCCCACTGTCCCACAGATTTTGTGTTGTTGTGTCCTCATTTTCATGTGTTCCAAGATATCTTTTGATTTCTTCCTTGATATCCTTGTTGACCCATTCATTGTTTAATAACATGTTATTTAGCTTCCATGTCTTTGTGTGTTTTTCAGTGTTCTTGTGATTGATTTCTAGATTCATAGCGTTGTGGTCAAAGAACATGCTTGATATGATTTCAATCTCCCTAAATTGACTGAGACTTCTTTTGTGTCCTAACATGTGGTCTATCCTAGGAAACATTCCATGTGCACTTGTAAAGCATGTACCATATTTTTCTGTGCATAATGTACACTATTTAGCACAAATTTTTGAGGGAAAAATAAGGATGCACATTATACATGGGCAGTACTAATTCCATAAAATGAAAGATTTCCCCCCCCCCTGAAAGTTTGGGCCCAAAACATGGGTGTTCATTATACATGGCAAAATATGGTATATTCTGTTGCTTTGGTCTGAAATGCTCTGAATATATCAATTAAATCCATTTGACCTAGTGTGTCATTTAAGGCTGCTGTCTCCTTGTTGATTTTCTTTCTGGAAGATCTTATCCATTGAGGTCGATGGGGTGTTGAAATCCCTGACTATGACTGTATTTCTGTAGATTTCTCCCTTTATGCCCATCAAGATTTGCTTCACATATTTAGGTGCTCCTATGTTGGATGTGTAAATGTTTACTAGGGTTCTTCTATCCTCTTGTTGGATTGTTCCCTTTATCATTATGTAGTGGCCTTCTTTGTCTCTTACTATAGCATTGGTTTTAAAATCTGTTTTGTCAGGTAAAAGTACTGCTACCCCAGATTTTTTTCCCCCTTTCCATTTCCATGAAATACCTTTTTCCATCCCTTTAGTTTTAGTCTCTGTGTATCTTTGGATCTGAGACGGCTCTCTTGGAGGCACCATATATATGCTGTCTTGTTTTCTTAGACATTCAGCTACCCTCTTTCTTTTGGTTGGAGCATTTATGCCATTTAATTTAACGTGAGTATTGATAGATATGCATGTAGTGCTATTTTATTGTTAGACTGTTTTCCTCTGGTTTTTTCCTTTCTCTTTCTCTTCTTCTTAAAACAAGCCCTTTAGCATTTGTTGCTGTATTGGTTTAGTGTTAACAAACTCCTGTATCTTTTTCTTGTCTGGGAAGCTCCTTATTTTTCTCCTTCAATTTTAAATGATAGCCTGCAGGGTAAAGTAGCCTTGATTGTAGGTCTTCGCTTTCATCACCTTGAATATTTCACACCACTCCCTTCTGGCCTTAAATGTTTCTGATGAGTCATCTGATGAGTAACTGAATGAGAGTCTAATTGGTGCTCCCTTGTAGGTAACTACCTGCTTTTCTCTCGCGGCTTTTAGGATTCTCTCATTGTCTTTAAGCCTTGTCATTTTAATTATGTTGGGTCCTGGTGTAGGCCTCTTTGGGACTACTTGTTTGGAACTCTCTGAGCTTCCTGGACTTGTGTGTTTTTTTTTCGTTCACCAGATTAGGGAAGTTTTCAGTCATTATTTCTTCAAACAGGTTCTTGATCCCTTGCTTGCTCTCTTCTCCTTCTGGTATTCCCATGATGTGGATGTTGTTCTGCTTCTTGTTGTCCAAAATGTTTCTTAAGTTCTCCTCATTTTTTAAAAATTCTTTTTTCTTTTTGCTGCTCTGCCTGGGTGGTTTTTTTTTCCTACCTTGTCTTCCAAATCACTGATGCGATCCTCTGCTTCATCTAACCTGCTCTTTATTCTTTCCAGTGTATTTTTTATGTCAGATAGTTCATTCTTTATTTTTGACTGTTCCTTTTTCATGGTTTCTGTCTTTTTTCATGCTTTTGAATATCCTTATAATCATTAGTTTAAACTCTCTCCCTGATAAATTGCTTTCCTCCATTTCATCAGTTCTAGAGAATTCTCTTGTTCTTTCATTTGGTGTCTGTTTGCCTTCCCATTTTGGCTGCTTCTTTGTTTTTTTCTGCCTTAGTCCTTAAAATAATCGGTCCCTAAACTGAGCAGTTGTTAATCTAATCAAGCTGTAATCAGCCAGGCTTAAGCACCACTGGCTGTGGCTGAGTAATTCATTTGGGCAGGGCTATTTCTTCCCCTCAGGTGATGCCTTTGGAGAGGAGTGCTCTGCCTGAGAATAATGGCTCCTTTAGTATGGGGAACAACTCAGCATAGCAACCCTGTTGGCTGTTCCCTCAGTTCTCTGCCCAGAGCCTCCAACCCCAGACTCTATTCAAGCGTCTCTAGTCCAATCTGCCCTCCTGCCCATACCCAGGGTAGGTGGCTGCAAAGGAAATTTTGTGCGTTGGCCCTTTAAGAGGCTCTTTGCATCTCCAGCCATCACTCCCTGCGTGACAGAAACCCTGCTGCTTTACCCAGCTGGATGTTATCTGGATTCCTTTCCCAGTTTTGGTGCCGTAGGCTGGGGAGCTCAGCTTGGGATTAGACCCCACACTTTTTAAGGGGAAGTGCTTGGCCACTGAAATATCCCTCTGGCACTTCAGCTGCCACCTGTGGGAGCCCAGCCAGCCCTCTTGCATCTCCTCTGCACTCCCTACCAGTCACATTGTAGTGAAGTGTTTTCTTCTGTTTGTCCGCAGCTATAAGGCTTCTCTTCAGCCAGCGTTCAGTTGGTTGTTCAGGATGATTTCCGTACAATTTAATTGTAATTCCAGATTGGTCCTAGGAGGAGGTTAATGTAGCTTCCACTTACCTCTCTATCACTTTGGATCTCTCAGTAAGTATTTTAATGAAGAAATGATGTTGTCTCTACTTGCATGTATTCTCTTCAGGAATGTATTCTTTTCCCCATTTTCCTATTTCACTTTTCCTATAACATTGTAATTATTTCCCTTAAACTCCCATATACTAGATGATGAGCTTCCCGAGGACTGAATATGAGCCTAGGCCAACATTGTAGTGCTCCCAGCTCCAAGAGCTGTGACTTAGTAGACAACATGAAAATGACACTGAAATGACAGAATAAATGAAAGCAATGGATACCTGTTGAACATTGGCCTGAAGGAGGTCTCCAAGACGCCCAACAAGGTCAGAGAAGTTGGGTCTGAGGGTGCACTCACTGTGCCAGCAGTCAAGCATAGTCTGGTAGCTGAAGATTGAAAAAAAAATACCAATAAAGTTTTATTCTCTTATTCCCATTGCTTCTCTAACTTTTTCTATGGATGACACCCGAGATCATATCCTCACAATTACCCCCAAGCCATATTCTTTGCTATGGTGGTTTTAGAGTGAGGTTTCTGAAAACCTGCCTGCTCCATATCTCTCCAGTACCCTTATGTTCCCTTTAGGAGCATTTGTTTCAAGTCTGTACACATAAATGCATGCATTTAATCAGCCATAATTAGTCCACATGTAAACCAAATACTTAGAAAACCCTAACATTAAAAAAATGCAACCTAGCCTTTAGGTTTGTTGCTAAACTCCTTTGGCAGAACCAGAATGATGTGAATGGGGAGACTGCTATATTTGTCAGGAAACTAACTGGCTTCAAATACTCTTAGACTTTGGGCCCTCCTCATGACTTAGAAGCTTATAGAATTGGAGTTTGATCCTCAAATATCTTTACATATCTTTGGAAAATGGTATAAAATGCCATCATTTTTAGAGATTAAGTGGTACCACTGGAATCCCAGCCTGTACTTTCCAAAGACTTTGGAGAATGAGCCATCAACTAAGTGGTAAATGCTGTTTGTTAAAAAGAAATGGTAATCATGAACTTATCTATAAAGCTCTGTGAAAAACAGACCTTCAAATCTCCTTTTAGCGCCTGTAGTAATTGTGTAAATTCATTTATTTTTTATTTTTATTAGGTATTGGAGTGACATTGGTTAATAAGATTAGGATTCAAGTGTACATTTCTATGATACATGATCTGTATATTGTATTGTGTGCCTTCAACTCTAAGTCAGATCATCTTCCATCACCATATATTTGACCTCTTTGACCATTTACAAACCCCACCCCACCCTTCCCTCTGGTAACCACCATACTGTTGTCTGTGTCTATGGGTTTTTGTTTGTTCATTTGTTGCTTTCAGTCTTATATCCCACATATGAGTGAAATAGTATGTTGTTTTCGTTTGGTGGTATTCCATACTTCTTTTCTGTTTCCTCTTTTTTTTAAAGCTATGTGTTTCAGTTTTGGGGGTGTGTGTGTGTGTGTGTGTGAGTGTGAGAGAGATTACCATTGTGTTTATGAAAATTTCATAAGAATAATAGCCCTTTTTCTTTGAATCAATCTGATCTCCATTCTCCTCTGCAAATTCAGGCCTTTACTGCCTTCCCTTTTATGTTTTTGTTTTCACAAGTTATCATTATTTACACTGTGATTTTTTTTGTGATCTCACTCATAGATTCCTGATCTTTAGATCTTTGTTTCAGGTAGAATAACCCCTTTGAATATTTCCTGCAATGGAGGTCTCCTGGTTATAAAATCCTTCAGCTTCTCTATGCCTAGAATAGTCTTTATTTCTCCTTCATATCTAAAGGGTAATACATATATATTTATGTATATATTTTATATATATATAATTTTTGGCTTGTAATTTCTCTTTCAGTAGTTTGAATATTTGGTTCCATGCTGTTCTAGCTTCTAGAGTTTCTGCTGAGAAATCCTGTGATAACTTCATGGGCTTTCCTTTATAGGTTACTTTCTTTTTTTCCCTGGCTTCCTTAAGAATTCTTTCCTTGTCAAGAATTTTTGGCAGTTTTAGTACTATGTGCCTTGGAGAAGGCCTTTTCGGACTTTAGTAATAAGGTGTTCTGTTTGCTTCTTAAATTTGAGGATCTTGCTCTTTCCATAGGTTGTGAAGTTCTCATTAACTATTTGTTTAAGTATGCTCTCTGTTCTCCCTCTCCTTCTGGTATGCCTATTATTCTTATATTGCTCTTTCTGATGGAGTCAGATAGTTCTCATACATTATTTTATTTTTTTATGCTTAAGTCTCTCTTTTATCTGCATCGTTTCTAGATTTCTATCTTCAATATCACTAATTCTTTCCTCCATCTGGTCAGTTCTATCTCCTGTGCTCCCTAGTTCATTCTCTATCTCTTTTGTTGAGTTCTTCATGTCCAGAATTTTTGTTTTTTAGAGTTTAATCTCTTTGTAAAAGTACTCATTTTGTTCTTTGATTTTGTTTCTAAGTTCATTAAAATGCCTATCTGTGTTTTCTTGCATCTTGTTTAGTTTTTTCAGAACTGCAATCTTGAATTTTGTTATTTATATCACATATTTTCATGTCTTTAAGTTTATTTTCTGGAGGTTTTTCATTTTATTTCTGAGCTGCCTCATTACCTTAGTTTTTCACGGTATTTGATGGATTCCTTCTCTTTCTAGGCATCTATGAATGACTGGCACTTAATTCTCTATTAGACAGATAAGCAGTCTTTCTAATGCTTTCCAATAGGTGGTGCTGAATCACAAATTTTTAGTTCTCTTGCACTGGCTTCTCAGATCTCTGCTTGGTGATGGAAAATGGCTTGTGTTCCCTGGGAAGGTGGGCTTGTCTCATGTCTTGAGGCCACCTCAATCTCAGGGAACCAACCCTAACGGGGAATGTAGTAGGCAATGGGTTTTCAAATATGTGAAATCCCAGTGCTATGCTTTGCAGCCAGATGATGCTGCTGGCAGTGCAGATTTGATGGGTGGAATATGGAGTGAGCTGGGGAAAGTTGGCTCCTTCCTTTGTTGCTTTGTTCTCTCACTAATGGTGGCTGGTAGACCTCTGTGGCCTCCCCTCTGTGTTTCTACCTGGCCCTGCGATAGTCACAAAGTGTGCCTGTTGCTTAAGGAAAAAATGTTTCTGTATTACCAGTTCTTGGGTTTGAAGATAATATTCTTCGCAACCTGACACTCACTGCTATACCTTCTTCTGGGTCTGTTCCTAGCTCTGAAAGGGTCAGGTGAAGTGGTCAGACTCTGTCATTTGATTTCTCTGAGTAGAATGCTGACGGCAGACAACCGTGGCCACACCTCTGTGCTGCGTCCCTGCTGTGGTCACAGGGATCGGCTGCTGCTTGTACTGCCCACTCCTGCAGAAATGCCCACTGACTCTCTTTGCTCCTCCCAAGCTGAAGGGAGCGCCAGCCATAACCTGGTATCTTTCCTCTCAGGGCTGAGCCCCATAGCTCTTCTCCCTTCCCATCTCCTTGGCTCACCCCCATTTGCCCACCTTCAGATATTTCAATGCACACATCTCTCAGACACCTTTGTGCATTGAGAAAAGAATCTTTTGTTGAATTATAGCAGTTCAAATTGTTGAAACTTTAAGGGGAGACAATCAGGGGATCTCTCACACTGCCATTCCTCTGATATCACTCTCTAGATTCACTTAAAAGATCCCAAGATCATTAAAAGATTAAAAGATCATTGAAAGATCCCAAGAACTTGGCTCCAGTTTGGTATATGCAGGAGAAACCAAAAATTTTGTGTGACTCACAGTACTGCCTTATTAGCTTTACTGGACTAAACCTGCAGTTTCTTCGAGGTATGCCTATATACTTGAGAAAAGAAAAAGAAGTATGTTGGCATTGAACAGGATTTCATGTGTTATGTTATGTAATCTGTGGTGTTTACTTTGACCATTTTGTCCAAAGGAATTTAGTCTGATGACCCTTAGGCCTGAAGAAGAACTTACATTTCAGGAGTGGAATATTCAGGAGCTCTCATTCGTGTTCCCTCCTTAAGCTGACGGCAGAATTCCTCATCTATCTGCACTCCTGGGTATGGTGAGGCACCTGAGACATAAGGAAAAACATAAATCCTATTCATTCCCATGAGATAAGCAACTCAACAGGATCTTATAAGAGAGAAGCATAAAAAAAATTCTGAGGGGCTAGCAGCTCCAGGTCTACATAGAGTATGTGACATAGAACTTCTGTCTACCTTGACAATTTAGAGATCTGACATAAATAATTCTCCCAGAAACCACATATACAAATTGTTTTGAGATGAAGGTAAAGGTTTTTTTTTAAAAACTACCAATAAATTTCCATTGACTTAGCAATAGGTCATGTTTTTAAATTTTTTAATTTATTGATTTTAGAGGGAGAGAGGAAAGGAGAAAAAGAGAAAGGGGAGAGAGAGAGAGAGAGAGAGAGAGGTGTTGATTTGTTATTCCACTTATTTTATGTACTTATGGTTGATTCTTGTGTGTGCCCTAACTGGGGACCAAACCTGCAAACTTGGTCTATCAGGACAATGCTCTAACCAACTGAGAGCTACAAGGCTAAGCAATAATTGCATGCTTTTAAATGATACATTCTGCCATTACCCTGTGATTTGCTGGAATGTAACCCATCCTTCAATATAAGATGGGTGATTTTGTTTTTAATCCAAAAGCATCTGTTTCTGCAGTCTCTGAATGCCCTTTTCATATTATACTTTAATTATGACATTCCAATGTAGCCCAGGCCTCATGAACAACAAGGGTGCAGATTTCTACCCAATGCGGACATCTGTTTCCTACTTGGGAAATGCAGTCTTGGTGGTATCCAAACCCAAACAAGAAATAAGGCCTGAGAGTAAATTTCATGTTCACAAATGAAAAAAAAAATTATGGTAAAGAAAGCACATTTCCCAAGTTTGAATCACAGTTTAAAGTGGGTTAAGAGACTGCAAATTATCAAACCACAAGTATCTTTGAACATCTATGTCTGTGCATGGGTAAGCTACATTCCCAAACTCATAACTCTTATTTGGTTGCTTATATTCAATAGTTATGAAAACTCTAGAGTACATTTTCTAGGACTTTGAGATTCAAGATGGTGTCAGACACCAATACAAAGCTATAAGGAACACAAGGAATCAAGGAAATATACTACCAAAGGGACAAAATAACATATATGCACGACACATAGACACAGACAACAGTGCAGTGAAGGCCAGAGGGAAGGGGAACGGGGCTGAGTGGAGGTGGCCAACGAGGGGGAGGATGGGGACATCTGTAACACTGTAAAAAATACAGTTAAAAAATGGGCAAATGACTTGAGAAACCATTTCTCCCAAGAAGTCATGCAAATGCTCAACAAAAATATCAAATATGTGCAACATTACTAGTCATCATAAAAATGCAAATGAAAATCATTATGAGATAATACCTCACACCTGTTGAAATGGCTATAATTAAAAGGTCAACAAACAATAAGGTATGGCAAGGTCATTTAGAAATGGGAACTTTCATGCGCTCTTAGTGGGAACATAAACTGGTGCAGCCACTATGGAAAAGAGTATGGAGATTTCTCAAAAAGATAAAAATAGGTCATCAAGGAACATGTATAAAGGACACATGGACAAAGCCAAAGGGGGTAGGATCGAGGGTGGGAAGTGGGGTTGGGTGGGGAGAGGGGGAGTGGTGGGAGGAAAATGCAGGCAACTGTACTTGAATAACAATAAAAAAATTGAATAAAAATAAAAATAGACCTGCCGTATGACCCAGCAATTTCATTTCCGGACATTTATGTTATGAAAATGAAGACACTAATTCAAAGAGATATATATACCCTATGTTCATTGCAACATTATTTACAATAGCCAAAATATGGAAGCAATGTAAGTGTCTATAAATGTATGAATCAGTAAAGAAGATGTAATATGGTATTATTTAGGCATTAAATAATGATGAAACAATGTCATTTAAAACTTCATAGATAGACCTAGAAGTTATGAAGCTAAATGATATAAATTGGACAGAAGATAAATGACATGATTTCAGTTATGTGGATTCTTAAACAATACTAAGAGAACAAATAACAAAACAAAACAGAACATACTTAGATGCAGAAAGCAAACTGATGGTTGTTAGAGGATGGGGCATGGGTGAAAAAAATGGAGTACAAGAGGTACTTCCAATAATAAAATAAATAAGTTATGGTGAAGTAGGTACAGTATAGATCATTACTAGATATATCTGGTGATCACATCATAAATTATATACAGACTTATGTTGGTTCAGAACATATCATTTCTCTAGTGTATATTTTTACTTCTGTCATCAGTCGATCATAAAAGCAAATATTTATGAGCTCTCTATTCTGTTCCATTGATCTATGTGTCTGTTTTTGTTCCAGTACTATACAGTTTTGAGTATTGTAGCTTTAGGTCAGAAGCATAATACCTCCAACTTTAATCTTCTTTATCAAAATTTTGTATTTCTGTTCAGCATTTTTGGCCTCTTAGAGTCTTTTGTGGTTCTATATAAATTTTAGGATTATTTGTTTCAGTTCTAAGAAGAATGATATTGGTATTTTGATAGGATTTGCATTAAATCTGTAAATTGCTTGGGGTAATAGGTTATTTTAACCATTTTAAGACTCCAATCCATGAGCCAGTATATCTTTTCATTTAATTGTGTCCTGTTATTGTCTTATAGTTTTCAGAATACAGGTCTTTCACTTCCTTAAGCTTATTGCTAAGTATTTTATTCTATTTGAAGTATGGGAGAAGGAGGTAGTAACATATAAGGGGACCCCGATGTGGCTAGCAGCTCACTTCTCAACAGAAACACTACAAGCCAGAAGAGAATGGCAAGAAATATTCCAAGTCATGAAAAGCAAAGGCCTGCAACCAACACTGCTCTACCCAGCAAGGCTCTCCATTCAAATAGAAGGCAAAATAAGGAGTTTCGCAGACAAAAGAAGGCTAAAAGAATACACCTCCACCAAACCAGCATGGCAAAATATGCTAAAGGGACTGCTTTAGGAAGATGAAGAAAGAGTCTATGAATCCCCATTTCCTTTCACAGTCACCAATACTTGACATTACCAATATTTTTAATACATATTAATCTGATTGTGACAATGATGTGTTACTTTAATTATTACTTTATTAGTTGAAACTAAACCTCTTTTTGTATATTCCTTGCCTATTTCTATTATTTTTAAAAAGCTTTAAATGACTTTTCGGTATTCTTTACTCATTTTTCAATTAAATGTTTGTAGAATTTTTTCCCTTAAAAAACAAACTATTAACACTTTTTTAGCTGTGTTGCAAATACTTTCTTATTCTATTACTTGTCCTCTAAGTTATTTTTGTATATTACTGTACAGTCTTAAATGTTTAATATAGTCATATTGTCAATATTTTACTTTGTAGCTTCTGGGTTTGAATATTTTACTTCAGGGTAAGAAAAATATCATTTTGTATTTTCTCCTAAAACTCCTTAGATTTTACATATTGATTTTTAACTCACCTGAATATTTCTTATATAACATGTGAAATAGGGCTCTAGATTTGTTTTATTTCAAGTAATAGTGGTCCATGTACCTCATTTGTTGAATAAGCCTTATTTTCCCCATTGATTTGAAATATCAATTTAATCATATATTACATTGTTAGACATATATATATGTTTGTTTCTAGAATGCTCATTTCATTGATCTATTTGATTATTTTTATGCTGGTGTCATGTTGTTTTTTAATTGCTGACACTTTATAATGGATTTAAAATTTTTAATATTTTATAATGGATCTTGACATTTAAAAAGTAAATAAATAAAATCAACCTGCATTTAAAAAGAAAAAAGAAAGAAGGAACTCCTACCTTTTGTGACCACACGGGTAGAACTGGAGAATATTAAACTAAGTGAAATAGGCCAGTTGATGAAAGACAAATACCATATGATCTCACCTCTAAGTGGACTCTATTCAACAAAATAAACTAAGGAAAATAAACCACAGGCATGGAAACATGGAGCAGCCTGAAAGTGGCCAGAGGGGATGGGGAAGGAGGACAGTGGTGGAAAGAAGGGGAAGAGACTAGACAAAGAACATGGATGAATGACCCATGGACATGGACAGCAGTGTGGGAATTGACTGTGGGAGCGGGGGTGGGGTGGGTGGAGGGGGGTAAATGGGGAAAAATTGAGATAACCGTAATAGAATAAACATGATTTAAAAATTTAAAAAATTAAAAAAAAAATAAAGTTCTTGTTCATTCACCACACCAGGCTCAATAAGAATTAGCAGAGATATATCGTTGAACCTTCTGGGATGTTATTATGAAGAAGAAAGTCCTTCAACCCTTATATACTGGCTCCTGTTCTCTCCCCTCCACCTGGTTGCAACCTCAGGACTTATGTGAATACTCAATCTTATGAGTCTTCTCCCACCCTCCTCCTGAGTCAGGTATGAGTTTTACAGTAAAATTCTATCCATTATGGTATTATACCACTTAGATAAAACCACATATAGTTAGCACAATGTACATACAAATAAGAATTTGTGCACACACACAGTAAGAAGAAAGTGTGTTTTTTTTTCCATGAAACAGTCAAGCATTTGGCTTTCTTCTGTTTTTATTCAGGCAATAGATACAATTTTATCTACCTATATTGTGGTGTTACCAGGTGAATTCAAATATTTATGGTTCAGGAGACTGGAATTTAAACTCTTTGGAGAATACACCAACATGTGTGTGGCACATTATAGCTCAAATAGTATTTTAACATAACAACCTTGTGACGTAAAAATTCTCAACCCCACGTTTTAGATGAGGAAGTTGGAAACCAGATTGGCGTAGTGGCCTGCTAAATTGGTACAGCTAATGAGAAGTAACACTGAGGTTCAAGCTCATGTCTGACTGAAAGTCACATATGTCATCTTTCTCTATGTAGACAATTCTTTGGCAATATACCTGTGTTTCATCTCCATCTGCAGTTCTTACCCTGTCCTGTAAGACACCACATGAAGTTGTTTTTTGCTTACCTATCATCATCCACCATCCACCGCTGTCCACTTCAGTGCCTTCCAGCTACAATGGCCATCTATCTCACTGTTCTTCTCAACACATCAAACATGTTTTAGCCTCTGGGCCTTTGGACTCACTGTTCCCTATGCCTGGAACGGTCTCATCCCAGATGGCCAATTGGCTAGTGACCTCTCTTTCTTCTAATCGCTGCTTAAATGTCACCCTCTCTGAGAAACCTCCTTTGCCACTCTCTGAAATAATATTCCTGTATCACGCTCCCTCCCCCTAGTTCCATATTTTATTGACTAATGAATTAATATGCCCTTCCTGGTAAAATACAAGCTCCTTGACAGCAGGTATTTTTGTCAGTTTCAATCACTAATAGCTATCCTCAGCTCAAAGTATAGCGTCTAGCATATAGTAGGCATTTAATATATATTTGCTCTTGAATTTGAGATATAAGGGAAAAAAATATGTGCATCTGGTTAGGGAGTTGCTTCCCTGTGTTCTAGTCTCACAAGGAATGGCCTTTCTCAGGCTCGTCCCCACGTGCACAGCTTGTTGGAACCTCCTGCCTTTGTCCACATCAGTAAGACCGAAATACTACAGTCAAAGAATTGTGCTTTGGACTACAGAGAGCCATTTGCTCTTCTCTTCAAAATTAACATCACAGAGCATAGTCATAAGCCTGAGTTCAAACTCGAAACCAATAGAGCATTGGAAGGTTGTATCTGGTTCAAGGTGATGTGATCCATTCCAGAAACAAAAGAACCATTTCCACAGTACCACAGAATGACATCTCCAGAAGGAATTTTGTACAACATTTAATGCGGTTCCCTTGCTTTGCAGGGCCTAGAGAAGTGTGTGTCCACATGGGGCACCAACAGCTAATTAGAATCACATTCTGGACTTGTAATCACAGATTATTCTGGCTTCAGAGGACCTCAGGGCCCATCTAGCTTCAAAACTCAATTTCATAGATTGTGGATTGAGGCCCAATAAAGGGATGTAAGCTAGAGGAATAAGAAATCGGGAGCTGATACCTTCAGGGTCATTATTGTAAATTGCCCCAATCTGCAGAATGTAATTGGATACCTAGTGCTCCATTTTCATCTTAATGGGGTGTTAGGGTGTATCATACATATGTGGTGTCTTTCACATGAGCATCTTGATTGTGAATTTAAACTGGAGCACAGCCTCTGCCTGAAATCAGAGCATTTTTTTTAACACAAGTTTTGTCCCTGAATTTCTGAACTACTGAGACATGAGAGTTAAGGTTCACAAACAAAAGTATGAAGGATTTTTAAGAGTCCTAAGCTTGGGTCCTGATCGCTGGGTTTCCCAGCTCTGGAACAGTTTCTGGAAGGGTACAAGCATGGCTCTGGTAACCTTCACAAAGTATATTAAAAGGAGGTTTACCTAAAGGCAGAGGGACAAACTACATGATTTAGAATAAAGAGTTTAAATTCTGAGATGGTGCAAGGACTCCATCTACCTGCCTACATCCATTTCTCAATGACCTCATTTGTTTATTCCAAGTAAAGTCTTCCTATAGGAAAGGACACTGAATCTAGTATCACATTTAGGGTTTCAGTCCTCGCTGTGCCTATTAGTTTTTGTGGGGCCTCATATGTACTTCTCTGAGGCTCAGCTTTTTCATTTATAAATTTTGTATCATAATGTCTATTCTAGCTAACAGGAAGTTGTAACAATTATATCATATAATAATAATAATAATAAATTTAATTGCTTCAGTACCTTGCAATATACAGAGCACTTTCTATCTACTTATTATGTTCGTTCTACAAATGTTAAACTCCTTAAAGAAAAATGACCATGTTATTCCATGTGTTATTATGCAATAGTGAGAGGTGATCTGATAACATTCTATTTCTGTAGTAGCGAGGCTTTCCGCTACCTCAAGGGTCTGCTCATGGAAACAGCCATGAAAGGCTATGAATTCCAGCTACAAGAAAAATAACCAAGAAAACCAAAAGATGCGGTGTGACTGAAGACATAATCTGATCAGTGGATATCAAGGGTTATAAAATTCAGACCCTGCTGGAAGTTAATTTGGAAAATGAGAGAATGGTAAAAGGAAGACAGAGAAGAAAAATAGGGGAATGAGAGAGGGCGGGAAGCAGGAGCAATGGCATATTGAAAGAGTTTATTGAGGCAAGGAAATTTGTAATCCATATGACAGATTTCCATCCCCAAAAAGGTTAAAAGAACAAGTGTCAACATTCATCTGTCTCGAAATATTGTTTGTTCAGACACCTTGCTCTCCTGAGCGCACTGGATAGTGGGGTGTTGGTGCTTCCAAATCCTGGGAACCACTGGAGAAAGGAGTGCTAGCAGCTATGCTACCTCCTTCCCATGAAGCCTCCCCTCAAAAGGCTATGTGTATAAGATGGGTGTGGGCGGACATTCCTTTCCGCGCAAAGATCAGGTAGAGAGAAGCCTATTCTGAAATTCAAGCTGTCTAGTATAGTAATATTTCTTAGTGACACTGCTGTAATTACTGCTTTACCATTTGATTCCACATGTGACTTGGATGGAAACCAAATAGTGTCGCTTCCCCTTTGCTCAAGCACCTTGTTCCGCCTCTTAAACACCTGTCATCTGAGAGACTAGACAGAGAGACCAGATATCGTAGGCGAGGGCCAAAATAGCCTCGGCGGCGAAGGCAAACATCTTGCAATCACTTTAGATCTCAGTGATCTATAAACATTGGAATCCTCCTCTATATTCAGTGACACCAATGCTTGATAAAATAGTTATCATGTGCACTTGGCTCCCAAACAACCATGCCCAGCTGATTTGAATAAAAACCCCTCGGCACCACAGGCAGGACTTTGATTCAGAGTCATGGAAGGAGGAGGATCTGAGGTGAGATGCAGACCTCATCCATGTTAGAGCATTGTCTTCTTTCTTAAAAGCCTTGTCTCATCTCTAGGCTTCCTGGTAGGTTTAGAAGGTTTTTCCTCCAGGCGCCAGCAATGTGGGACTGGGAGTCTAGAAGGCCGAGGTCAGGGTTTACTGTGCTGCTTTCTTCAGGGCCCCACAGAGCTTAGTTAGAATCACCGACGCCACGCTATGGCTTGGCTTAAGTGTGGTCGTATGTGTGGTGGTTAAAAGCGGGGCTTGCGAGTCAGACAGGTTGGGTTCAAATTCTGGCTCTTTGAAAAGTCTTTAAGAAGCGACTTAATCGCTCTGCATCAACAGAGCCCCGTCTAGCGTGTGGACCTCGTTCCGTCTCTAACCACACCTCCAATTACTCTTAAGCTCACTCATCCACTCTAGCCACAGTGGTCTCCTGTCTGATCCTCAAACTCACTGGGCACACTCCATTTTCTATTTCCCTTGCCCAGTAGTCTCTTCTCCCAGATAGCTGTGTGGCTCATTTCTTCACTCTTCAGGCCTTTACTGAAGCATTTCACTTTCAATGAGGCCCTGCTTAACCACCTAGTTTAAAAACTAACCCACGTTCTGCTCCATACCAATACTCCCTAAATCTCTTCTAAATTTTTCTCCATACTACCTAACATCATTTAAAATTTTCTATGTTGTACTGATTAATTGTTTGTGGTCAGTCTAATCTGACTAGAGGGCAAGCTCCATGACAGCAGGGATTATCATTTGCTTTGTTTACCACTGTATCTCCAGCACTTACAATGCCTGGCATGTGACAGGCTTTCAGTAAACATTTCTTGAGTAAATTTGATCAATCACTGAATGAATGAGACAATTTTTGTTAGTTCTTGGTCACAAGTTGTTTTCTACCTGATTACATCGCATCCACAGACCGAGGTCTGCTAAATTCTGAGATTGCAGCTGATGTTGACTGGGAATAGTGAGGGGGTAGCAATAAAAAGATACACTTACCCAGAGAGAATATTTCCCACAGCAAGACACCAAACGACCACACATCACTCTGGATAGTATAAACCTTGTCAAAAATGGCTTCAGGTGCCATCCATTTAAGCGGGAGCCTTGCCTAGAAAGCCAAAATGGGAGAGAGCCATGAAATAACATCCATAACATCGACGGGTCCCAAGGGACTGGACTTGGGGTGTTGTGCCAGTGAACTATGAACTTACATCCCCTTTCCAGACATAGTCAGGGTCTTTGTAGATGTCTCTGGCCAAACCAAAGTCACAGATCTTCACAATGTTATTATCAGCTAGAAGGATGTTCCGAGCAGCCAAGTCCCGGTGAATGCACTAAAGAAAAAGGACACAGGTTGCTCAGAGGGTTGCCAGGACCTAGGATTGTGCAGGCTTACAGATTCTCAGCCAGGAGAAAGGCTGGGTATTGAGTGTGGAGAGGAAAGGAATGAAAATTCAGAATAGGGAAGTATCTCAGAAGTACTCAGCCTCTGAGAGACTAGTGAATTGGTCTGTTCTGAAATTTGGCTGAATGGGTCGAATGTCCATTATAATAGAATGGTTCCTCCCATTTGGCTACCACTAATATGTTTTATCCTTCAGACCCTGTGATATTACTTTACAATATAATTCTATTCTATCCACTGCATTCCACTGCTAGTACCCTGGGTCACAGAGACCCTTGTTTTACCTCAATGGGACCATTGCAATGGTTTCCTAACTGTTATCTGTGCCTCCAGTGTAGCCCCATGAACTACTCATTGGTCCACTTTGGTCCCCAAAGTCCCAATCCTTAAGCGCAAACCTGAGAATGTTCTTACTTAAAAAATTTTATTTTGTGGCAGTTAGAAACCACGAAAGTTCAAATTTCTTTGCACAATGTTCAAAGCCTTTCATAATCAATGTAAAGCTCTCTGTTCAGCTATACTTCCCCATCCCTACATCTTTGTGCATTGTATGTTGTAGTTTTTAGAACTATGGAAAATTTTCTTGTTATCAAGTCTTCATAATATTGCTTAAACACAACATCTGCTGAGAAGACCACAGATTGTCTGGATTTCCTTCCATATAGTCAGAAAGCACTTATTTTATTCTTCTCTCATAGGATCTAGCCTATTTCATTATATTGACTGTCTTTCTACCTCACTGGGTTCTTAGGTAAGAGAATTTGTATCTTTCATGTCTGTACCTCCAGCTGTTAGCATAGAGAACATAAGAAGCAATCAACACATATTTTCTGAAAGAAATTATTTTGATATACAATAACCTGCACTGCTGGCTTTAAATATTCTAGCCATCTCCTATTATTAGAGTTTGAAAAATAAGCCCCTAACAACTGCAGGTAGACAGAGGAGTAGCTGTCTGTAAGATGACTGAACGTGAATTTCCCAAAGAACAATTCAAAAAAGACAGACAAGTAAAAGAGTAGACTATTAAAAAAGCTATGATGGATACTGCTGCTATGGAAATCCACTTCTCCTTTGTCCCCCTAAAAGTAGAAATGAACAAAAGGAAAGAATGAACACTCACTTTTCTGGAAGCAAGGAACTCCATGCCCTTGGCCACTTGGAAGCTATAGCAGATCAGGTCCTCCAAGGTGAGGGTGTGCTTATAGAGATTCTTCGAATCTGGAGAAGCAAAAAGAACATGAGAGAAAGACTGGTGGTGGAAAACTTCCCCCGAATTCTGTGGAGACAGCAGTAGGGAAGAGCTAGAGGGGAAGAAAAACCTGCCCTCCATACAAAGTTTGCAGAATGGAGGCAAATGCTTTTGTCGACAGGACCTTGGCAGACCTTACTCTACCATGACCTCCTGTGTATTTTTAAGTGATGGGCATGTACTCTTGTGAATGAACATGCTCTCCCAAGATGTCTTTAGGGATTCAATAGCTCATGCCTTGACTATTCCCTACCGCCAAAATGGAATCCATTGTTTTTTGAGGTTTCCTCGCTAATTCTGGGTGCCAGAAAGAATCTGGAAGATGTCTATGGGATGCCAGAGGTTGGGAATTTTTCAGGAAATTCCCATAATTCATGGTTACAACAAGTCTGAATTTTTGTAATCACAATGTATGGTCACTATATACCATATTCCTTACTAGATCACTTCCCTCAATTTCTGTCAATAGATGCAGAGTTCAGAAATTCCTATGATGCTCTACCCCCACCATATTAGGATTGTAAGGGTCTTTACAAGTATTCTAGTTCAAGTTTCTACTGTCATTTTACAAGTAGAGAAAATGAAGCCTAGAGAAGAGGTGTGACTTGTCCAAGGCCATAAAGTATGTTTGTGAGAACCAGTAATAAAACCCCAATCTTCTCACTCTCAGACCAGTTGCTGTCCCAGCATGCATTAATGCCAGACAGATATCTTACACAGTTTATTTACGACCAAAAGCACAATAAGAGGAATAGAGGCAGAAAGGTCAGGGGCACCAGTAGGTGCCAATGTCAGGCAGAAAGCTCAGGCAGAATTAAGACACGTGTAATTCAAAGTCAATGCTTGAAGCTGTCAGTCAAAACCAGGGATGGGAGGTAACATGGAAAGAAGCGGGCAGCCTGTATTCAACTCCTACTCCTCTTATTTAGCTGAGCCAGATCAATATTGAGGTGGTCAACATTGGTACAGCTATTAGAGTTGCTTATCCTTTAAATATCTCCATACTGCTTGGTAAATGGTTACACGGACAAGCTCTTCAAGTGTCCTCTCCACTACATTGATCACATCCCTTTCCAGACTTTACCATGATTCAAAAACCCCAAGACCCTGCTCCGGTGCTACATTAGACATCTATTCTGATTGGTCTCAATCTGTGCCAGTATTTGTTCAATATTTTAATAGCTGTAAAATATTTTCATAGCAATAGCCATTTCGCAATACCCTACATATTTGTTAAGTATTTTGACTATCAGGCAGGATCTGTTCACTATATTTTATATTATTATCCCTGTGCTGAGTGTCAGTTTCTTCTCTGTCAAATGGAGATCAGGATCCCTATTCATCTCACAGGGAAGTCATAGAGCTCAAGAAAAGAATTTTTTGGGCAGTGCATGGAAACTGTAAAGGTCTACATGAATGTGGGAGGCTGTCATTGTAAACTATTTCTGTGTGTTAACGAAAGTGTAAGCTGAGCTTAGAAGCAAATGTCCGCCGAGATGCACGACAACGGTCACGTGATGTTCTGGGAGACCTCCCTCAACCCCGGTCTAACCTTGCTGGACAGTGGCCTCACTCACCCAATGCAACCCCCATACTCAAACCTCTAGTAGCCTTGAGGAATGGCCAGAAGACAACCCCACATACCTACTCGGTGGGTCATTGTGGCCCCCAAAAGGTGGCGGTTACTTTCATCCTCCTCATCAGATTCGCTATAGCTCTTGTCCTCAATGAAGCCAGAGCTGGTGGAACTTCCTGTGCTCGCCACGCTCTCCAGACGCGGCTTGACCAGCTGGGAGGACTTGCAGTCGGAATCATGAAAGGTCTTCACCTTTTTATCCATACCGAGCGGGACCTGAGAGTTCAAAAATACTCAGAGCTGGAAGAGACTTCAACATTATCAAGTCCATCCTACCTCATGCTTCTATTGGGGAAACTGAGGCCCCCAGATGTATAAGGGAATTGCTCAAAGATAGGCAGAGGGAAAGCTGAGAGTGCTGCTTCAGCCGAGGGCTCTGTTCCCTTTGCTGTGATGTCAATAGACTCATCCCTAGGGAGCGGGAACATTCCAGATCTGGCTGTCGAAGGGGTTTTCTTCCTCAAAAGACAGCAGGCTTTCACAGGGCAAGGATATCTGGTGACATGTGGTACCCCAAAGGGTGTCTGTGCTCTGTGCTTAGACGTTGAGCGTATGTCATAAGAAGCAGCCACCCTCTATTTTTAACTACTATTGCTCCCTTTTATCTTTGCAAAAATCCGAGTAGAGGGAGAACTTGGGGGTGGAGTTAACAAATTGCTAGCTCGTTCAGAAAACCAAGTCAGATGACACCCTGGGTTCTGGAGGGTGTTTATGAATTCATTTAAAAATCAGGTATTTGTCTAAATAAAGCAGTGACTGACACAGTGCTTTGCAGTCCTTTGGGAATTAGAGACCGCTGCCTTCCCCTGGGAGAGAAGGGCAGGGGCAGCGTGCCCACCTAGAGAGCAGGAGTGAGAAGAGGGGAATATTGAGGCGTCGGTGACATGTGCCCCTGACCATAGGCTCTGGGCTGGACATTATCCAAATGAAAGGCCTTAGAATCATACACTTGAAACCTATATAATCTTATTAACCAATGCCACAGCAATACATTCAACTTTTTAAAAGTTCCTTTTCCCAGATCTTCAGGTATTGTCAGAAAGCTCAAGTTGATGGAATGGAAGAGTAAGGGCATGATGGGAACTGGGCTAGTGAATTACTCTGGATCTCTTATTGCAAACCGAGGGAGACACTAACCAACCGCATCACTGCAGCCCATGCCGGGAGCATGCCGAGTTTTCTGTCTAAGAGGAACTTTAGAGGTCGTTGACTTCAAGGCTGTATTGGATGTAGAAATGCATACCCTACGGCCCCGATCAGTAGTTTTTCAGCCTCTGCTTCTCCACTCTTCTCTCCCTTTTTATCCCTAGAAAGCCGTCAGATAGCATGCAAAAGTGAAGATGAAGTGTGGGGTTCAGTTGGGGAAACCTACCTTGGAAGCAATAAAATCTCCTCTCTTCCCTCTCAGAAAGTCGGCCAGATTTCCATATTTGCAGAATTCCACAATGACCATCAAAGGACCTGCCAAAAGTAATGTCCACATCATCGTTCCAGAAAGGATGATGAAGGCTAGCCGACTCTTGGGCTACCCTTGTCCCGGTAACCTGTCGACCAGAAATCTCCTAAAATCTCACAGAGGATTTCTCTGGCAACGAACCCATTGACTGACCGACCTATGCCAAATGCAATGGTGACTGATCCCAGAAACAGCTGGCTGGCTGAGAGTTGGGCGAGGGAAGATTTGGCAGAAGGGGGAAAGTGAGGCCAATAAACCACAATGCACTTCACTATGATGTTGCCTGGGCTGGCCAGCATGAAGGCTACAGGAATGAGCAGGACAGGGCCCCTGGCCACGTGCAGCCAACAGTTGCAGTGACGAGGGCAAAGGAGCAGCCACCAGCTGGGTATTTCACCCATCTGCTCACAGGGGCTCCTGTCCCCACCCTCCACACAGCTGCCCTACCTCCACCCCCAATAGCTTGCTAAAAGGCCTCTCTCAATTGTCTTCGTGTTAGTTCGTGGCTTAAGCCTCTCCACAGGTTTCCCAGAACCTCCGTTTTCTCTGTGCTTGCCCACACCACAAGTCACATGTGGCCCGAAGGACTCTATTTGTTTGTGTGGCCTCCCCGCATCATGCTCCCAGTATGCCCTCCAAGCCCCTCCCTTCCTTAGGGCCTCACATAAAATCAGAAGGGGCTCAGAAAATGTTGTTTCAAATGAAGTTAAATGAAAGGAGGTGCCTTTTCAATAGCACTGTAATAGAGAAACAGCTCAAGGGCGTTTGGCGTCATTGAGAGAATGGCTTCAAATGTGTAGATCCACAGGGGTTGCAGAATTGCTGTTGACGAGGTGGGTGAAACCCCTCCTCAGGCCATGGTGCTAACCGAAGACGTGAAAGACGGGTAACCGAAGGAGGCCATGGACGCCCTTCCCTGAAGGCCGTGGCACGCCTCCTCAGCACCCAAATGTTTTCTCTTCAACTAACGTGTCCGAGATTCCACCGAATAACGGGCTGTTCAAGCTGGCAAGAAGTTGAGATGCACCCAAGCCCTTTATACATTGCACAGTAGTATTTCCTGGAACGGGGTCAGAGGACACGGGCTCTGGAGGTCCTGCGCATCGCAAGGGCGCTCTAAGTCAGAGGAGGCTCACCTGCAGCGCACGGAGACCTGCCCAAACAGGGCCCAGCTTGCCTCCGGGAGCTCTGGCCCCTAGAGGGCCGTTCTGGCCGGGAATGGAAGGCTCCTTACCTCCAGGTTTGGTGCAGGCACCCAGCAAGTTAACCACATTGAGGTGGTGACCAATGTGAATGAGGATCTTCAGTTCTGACATCAAAGCCTTAAACTCACTGGAGGTTGCACAATCTGCTTGAAACAAACACAGCAATGCACAAAAGAATGGTTTGTCCTGGGAGAGGCTGCAGGAGCATAGGGGGTCCTCTGTAATGGTAAACAATGCTGGCGGAAATGCCCGTAACACAAGGATTCCTTTCTGCGCTTTCCAGGCAATATTATCAATGGCAGAGTCATATCTTCTCACCCACGAGCCCGCCTGGACGCTGAGATTTGTGTACTCACATCCTTAACTACTTTTCTACTCTCTGATTTTGAAAAGGACAGGACAGCCTTCAATAGCTCCTTCTTCTGTGATAACCTTTCCCTGCATTGCTGTCTTGGAAGAGGGGATTGGTGAATTGGCCAAGTTGGATTTAAGCCTTTTTCTGTGAGGAGTCAGGGGCATGGGGTGGATGGTACTGGGATGTTTAAACATACACAGGTTTATCTACTCAAGGTTGGGACCACACGGTGGGTTCCTGTACCCCAACCAGTGCGGAGTCCCATGGGAATTCATCCCACGTGTATTCTGTGCCCTCCCCTTCTGCTGCCGCCACCGAAGACCATGTAGGAATTCCGGTGGCCAGATACCACTGCCGGCCCGTATAGGCCTTACCAGAACTAAAGACCTCGAGTGTTTCCTTTAGTATTGATGTGGTTGAACACAAAAAAGAACAAATAGGCTGACACACAACGTTCCATGATGATTGGCTCGTGCCCATGGCTGCGGTTTCCAGGGGAAACATTGGTCGAATGAGGGTGGAAGTTAGTTGTAGTGACCTCCCTCCACTACTTCTGACTTCTTTTACACCTGACCGCAAGTGTCCTTGCAGGTGTTTTCCAATGGCCTCTAGAGAATATAAATATTACCTTTCAGCATTTTCACTGCCACCGTCTTGCAAGTTGAAGCTCTGTCAATGCCGAAAGCACAAGCCTCCACCACTTTACCAAAGGCACCATGACCAAGGATTTTGCCTGAGGAAATGAAAAGTGAAAATGAGTAGTAGCCACTGAAAGAAAGACCCCAGAGAAAAATGAAAAGTTTGCTGTTTGTAATGGGCACCAAAACTGCTGAGTCAGAATTCTCTGGAAGGCCCTTCCAGACCACCCCATCTAAAACAATGGAGGGATTGAGCAAAAAGGACTCATGGAGATGAACAACAGTGTGGTGATTGTTGCGAGGAGGGGGTATAAGAGGACTAAATGGTAATGGAAAAAATACAATAAACATTAAATTAAAAAGTTTTTTTTAAAGTTTAATAAAACAACACTGTTTTTATATTTCTTCAACTTGCCCTATTAGTCTTCATAACACTCTGACTTGATAACGTTATGCTGGGATATTTATTATCATTTCTCCCAATAGAATATAAGCTCCATAAGGCCTGTCTTGCCCATAGCTATGTCCCCATCACCTGGAAAGATGTTTAATATGTGTAGATGACCAATAAATATGTGTAGAATAAGTGAATAGAGGGCTACCCCATGCCAGCAACTGAGAGGAAGAACCATGTGGGTTGTAGCCAATTTATGGTGGTCTATAGACACAAACCAGTTCTTCAGGTAAAGGTGTTAGCACATACCTGTTAATAAGATGCAAGTCAAGACTTCTGGCCATCTACTTCACTAAGAAACACATTAGTTACTGGACTACTGGATATATCTCTGTGGGTATTCATTACATTTTCTTTATTTAAAGGACTCAGCCTCTCCAGTCAACTTTTTTTCAGAGACTCCATTGTTTACCAATACCTTCCATTTGTGAAGTGCGTAACATTTACAAAAGACATTCCCAAATGTTACCCAACTAGGACTTCACAGGAGTAATAGAATATAAAGAGCACACCTATAATTATTAATATTTTCTTTTAAGAATGCAAAAAAGTTCCGAAAAGTGGCATGTGTTGCATAAGGTGACTCAATCATTCTCATGCTATGTGTGCAATGCCGTTCTGTTCCCCTAATTTTTGGCTTCTGTTCTCAACAGTATCATCTTTGAAACGCATCCCACTTCATTTAGGTTTAAGTGCATCCTGGATTTCAAGCCGTTGTTTTTTCTTGGGCCTTTTACTTAGTAATTTTGTAATGCTATAATGAAAAAAGAAAAAGTGGAAGGGTGATATAAGAGAGGTATCTTCTCACCTAACTGTAACCGTTCCCTAGGGAATTCCCATTTAGTGCCATCATAAGGAAGCCTGTCACACTGTTGATCAAGGGGCATCTCTTCAGGGTCCATAATGATGGAAAGGTATCCGGTTTTGATTTCTGACACACTGGGCTGTACACAAGAAAAGTAAAAGCATGTTACTGTGTTTTCTTGATCTTTTGAAGACGAATAAGGCCCCTAGATTTTCCCATTTTGTATTTTAAGTTGGTTCATTAAATCCAAAACAAATCATGAGCATAAATATAAAACATACCCCATGAAAAAAAATTAAAACAGATATAAACTGGAAAAATAGTTACAACAAACATAGCAAATTAATCCCCCTATTATAAAGAGCTATTAAAAATCAGTAATAAAAAGGGACTGTACCCAAAATGGCAAAGTAGCCAACTCTAGGGTTATGTCCCCCCCCAAATTTACTAAGGGGGAAAATTGGCCAGAATTAACCCTTAAATAGCTTTATCCTAGTAAAAACTTACAGCAATGGGGGAAAGACTTGGGTAAGTAAGAATCATGGCTCTGTGGCAATAGATCTCTGTGACATTTAAAATTGCCTGCCTCTCATCCTTTACTCCCCATATTGGCAGCATCCAGGAACAGGGTAGTAAGCACCCCTAGGGCATGTTGCTAGTGCCAGAGGGAACAATATGAACCTTGTTCTAAAAATATTGCGGGTGTAGGTCTCAACTTGTCTGGCAACTCCCTGAAAGACCAGTACAAAAATTTCTCTTGGTTTTATACAAACTGGAGCATAACCAGAGAAGAGTTAGCTTCTCAGGCAGCTTTCTCCCAAAGCATTTGAAGGCACAGGGATTGACCATAAGAGCGCATGACAAGGCACAACACTTGGGACACTGGAAAAAAATCAGTTACAAAATTAGTCTATAAAGGAGAAATTGAAAAACCAAAAAAAAGAAAAAAAAGAAAAAAAAAGAAAAGAAAAAAAGTGTAAGACATAGAGAACACAAATAGTTAAATGGCGGAAGTAAGTGATTTCATATCAGTAATTTCCTTAAGAGTAAAGGGATTAAACTTTCCAACTATAAGCAGACAATAAATAGCTCTGGCAGGAATCCTTCACTCAAGGGCCACTGGGAATCCTCACTGGAGGATCCATCTGTCTGACCTATAGACACCCCCAATGTCCTAGAGTTAAACCCACACTTCCGCCCACACTGTAGCCAGCTCATTATGCATGTCCCCAAATGCAGTGACAACAACAAGTTCCCGTCGACAGGAAATGTGTGCAGAAAACAGGCTAGGGCTTGTGGTCAAAGGAGAAAACACAAACTTGAGCTAAAGCGTCACCTTCAGGAAAACAAAGATTTCCAGAAGGCAGACTGGTAAATCGTAAGATCAAGGCTAAGAACACACGTTTAGCCATTCTGTGATAGGGAGAAAGAAGCATGAGGCAGGTGTATTTTTATAAGATCAGTAAAGCCCCAGATAATCAGGACCATGGAAAATTGCCTCCTAACCAAAGGCAACTAGTAAAGGCTGGAGGAGGTGACTGCTACTTCAAATGTTTTATATTCCAAAAACATAAAAAATTAAGGGAACACGCCAACATTAAAAAATCTCAATAATCTTCCAGTAAACAATCTCAAAGACACAGATTTCTGTGATAGAACCAATAAGAAAGTTAAATTAGCTGTTCTGATGAAACTCAATGAGCCACAAGAAAACACAAAAGACATTTCAACAAACCGAGGAAAAGAATGCATAAACGAAACAAGAAATTTAACAAAGACCAACATCATTAAAAAAATCATAAGAAAAAATTCTGGATCTGAGGAATGCAACTAATGAAATTTTTAAAATTCAATAGAAAGCATCATTCTCAGAAGAAAACAAAGAGAAAAAAAAGAAGAAAGCATCGTTATCGGAAGATAACAAAAAGAATGATCTAAATGATAGAACCTTTGAAATATCCAGTCCTCCGAGAAAAAGAACAACACAAAGAAAAAGAATAAAAAAGAGACAACAGTCCTGGCTAGGTGACACAGTTGGCTGGAGCATCGCCCCATACACGAGAAGGTTGTGGGTTCAGTCCTCAGTCCGGGCACGCACAGCAGGCAGCCCATCAATGTTTCTCTCACATTGATCGCTCTCTCTCCTCCCCCCTCACATTCCTTTCTCTCTGAAATCTAACTACGTATCCTCAGGTGAGGAGGAGAGGGGGAGAAGAGAAAGGCTATGTGATCTATGGGACATCAGCAAGCAAACAGATATTAGCAGTATTAGAGGTCCAGAAGAGAGGGAAGGAGGAGCAAAAAGTTTATTTTAAAAATTAATAGTTGAGGACTTCACAAATTTGGGGAGAGACTTAAAACATCCAAGTTCAATAAGATAATAGATTATCCCATTGTCTCAATTCAAAATAGTCCTTTCTAACACATTATAATAAAATTGTCAAAAAAGAGAGAATCCTAAAAGCAGTCAGAAATAAAATTATTGTAACATTCAAAGGAGCTCCATTAAGCTGCCTGTGGATTTCTCATCGGAAACCCTACAGGCCAGAAGAGAGGGAAATGATATATTTAAAGTGCTAAAAGAAAACTTTGCCAGCCAAGAATACTCTACCTGGAAATGTTAACCTTCAGAAATGATAGACTTTTTTTAGAAAAATAAAAGCTAAAGAAGTTCATGACCAGTAGACTCTCCTTGCAAAAAATGTTAAAAGGAGTTCTTTGAGATGAAATAAAAAGATACTAATTAGTTCATTAAAACATACAAAAATATACAATAAACTGATAAAGGTAAATATACAGAAAGTTTTAGAAAGCTCTTATTCTGTTAATTAGTTAACTATAGCATAAATGTTAAAAAACAAGATTAAAAACAACAAAGCTACTATAGTTTGTTAACAAATACACCATATAAGAGGTAAAATTATACCTAAAACATTAAAGGAAGGAAATAAAAGGGAAGTTTTGTGTGCAAAGTTAAGTGGCTATCAGCTAAAAATGGACTATTATACCCATCAGGTATTTCAAGGAAGCTTCATGGTAACTATAAAATCAAAATATACAGTAGACACACAAAAATATAAAGAGAAAGGAGTCAGAGTATACCTCATGGAAAATCACCAATTCACAAAGGTAGGCACAGAGAGATGGAAAATGAAACAATGAAACTACAAAATAACCAGAAAGCAATTAATAAGATGGCACTAGTAAGTACTTACATATAAATTATTACTCTATATGTAAAAGGATTGAATTTACAATTGGTACTGGAAATATCAGGGGACCATTTTGTAAAGTCCAATATAGAATTGTCTAACCACTATGCTGTATACCTGATGCTAATATAAAATAATACTGAATGTAAACTTAATTTTAAAAATTAAAAAAATAAACAAGTCAGTCTTAAAAAACAACCCCCCCACACACAGAGCAGCTGAATGGTTTGCAAAAATTAGATTTAACTCTTTGTTACCTACAAGAGACTTAACTGCAGCTTTAAAGACACACAGGTTCAAGTGAATAAATGGAAAAGCATATTTCATGCAACTGGAAACTTTAAAAACTTGAGCATGGCTATACTTATAGCAGACAAAAATAGAGTGTAAGCCAAAAATAATAACAATGTTACCGGACAGGGGCCTGGCCCTGAGCGGGTCTGCCGAGGGCCAGCTGTGCTGAGCCGAAGCTTGTCTCCTGTAGAAAAGGTTTCCCAACAGGAGTCCAGGCGACTGTGAAGGTACGTTGGTTAAAGCTGGGGGCAGTGAGACCAGGCAGGGCTTTGCAGAGAAGCAGCAGCAGGAGAGCTGAGGCTGGGCTGCAGTTGCTCACTGGGAAGTCAGAGGGGGGGGGGGGGCTGGGGGGCAGGTTCAGGGGGTGAGCCTGGGACTAGCTGCCAGGGGCACCATGCCTTAGAGTTTAGGAGATGCAAGTCTGTGAAGAAAGGAGTGGGGGCTGGGGGGAGAAGAAAGGAAAGGAAATGGCGCTGGCTGCCCCCCAGGGGGAGAGCAAGCCTGCTCGGGGTCCTTTGTCTTGAGGCTCTTATCTCTTTTTGCAGGTGGGAGTCTCAGGGGAGGTCTCCCCGGAGGGTTTCAGTAGAATATGCACCAGTTCTCCAGGTGCGCCCTTTCAGGGTCATGGTCTTTAGTGATTGGTCAGAGCCATTGGCTGTAGTCATTGTAGCTGGCCCTATTGTTACCCCCCAATTCTGCTACTTTCTGGGCCTGGAGCTGAAATACAACTGAAGCCTAGATGTTATCTCTAGGGAGGCGACTTCTTGTATCTGGCTGTAAATTGCTCGGCCGGCATATTCAGCTGTCTGTCTCAGTTTCCCTATTCTGCTTGTCAAGGAATTTTCCTAGCTCCTTACTATCTTGCCTCAACAAGAGAAAAAGAACCTTATTATATAATAATAACAACAGGGTTATTCCATCAAGAAGATTAAACAATGATAAACATCTACACACCCAAAATCAGAACTCCTGATATATTAAGCAAATACTAAGAGTCCTAAAGGGAGAAATAGACAACTATAACCATAATGCTTAGGATATAAATACCCCCTATTTCAAAAAATGTCCCATAAATCACACAGAAAATCAATAAGAAAAGGTTAGACTTGAACCATACATTAGACTAAGTGGAATTAACAGACATGATAGAACATTCCAGAGGTTCCAGTTCATGTTGTCAATGTAGAAAACTCTTGAACTCATTTCCCTGCATAAGCTTCATATAAGCCAATTTCCTTTGGACAAAAATTAATTAATTAATTAAAGCCTAGTTGAGTAGTTCTTACTCATCAAGAGAATGAGGAAAAACACATACATTGAAGTGGATAGAAGAGGATGAGACAAAACCTCACCATAAACCCCACCCCTAGCACAGTGACCCACAACTGGAAGGGAACTCAAAACCCAGAGCTGCTCCCTGAGAAGCTAAGAGTTTAAACCCCGTATTTGGCATCCCAACTATTTAGACCTGCACTGGAGAGACCACACCCCAAAACATCTAGCTTTGAAAGCCAATGAAGTTTGTGTCCATTAGACCCAAGAGGCTCTAGCAAACTGATAAGTAGTTATTTTTTTAAAAGGATTTTATTTATTTATTTTTAGATTGAGTAGAAGGGATCAAGAAAGGGAGGGA